CTTCTTCTTCTTCTTCTTCTTCTTCTTCTTCTTCTTCTTCTTCTTCTTCTTCTTCTTCTTCTTCTTCTCCTTCTTCTTCTTCTTCCTCTTCAGAGACTGTCCTCATTTTATCTTCTTTTATTTTTTCCAACTTCGCCTTCTTCTTAGTTTTCTTCTCCTCCTTCTTGAGTTTTCGCTCTCTGTCTACATCACCTGGTTCTAAGGAAGCAACTTTGTCCTTTTTGGGAGTCACTTCCTTTTCTCTTCGGAACTTTTCTCCTGCAGCCTCTGGCATCTCTCTCTCACCCTTGACAACCATGTGATCTCTAATTGCTCTGCCTGTAGTTGGTCTTTCCTTTTGCCGGGGTATTCCCGCCCTAGTGTCCTGAGGCTCCTCCTTCAGGAAGGGGCAGATGTCCTTAAAGATTTCCCAGCTGGGACACTTGCCCATCAGCATCTCCTTAGCAGTAGCCACTAGCTCATCATTTAGATCTGTCATTATCCCTGTTTCGGAACCGGCCATCCTCAGGTTCACAAGCCGGCACAGATCGTCCCGCCATGCATTTTCTGCAGGGAGAGCCCTACCGGGAGCTCCCCCAACGCCCCGCTCGGAAGCCTTGAGCCTTCTCCTCGGATGAGGTGGTTCGGCTGCAGGCTCCTCGGTGACTTCTTCTTCTTCCCCTTCCTTCTTCTTCTTCTTGTGCTTGATGAGTTTGGGAGCTTTCTTTTCTGGCATTTTTGCCCTTTTCCTCAACCTCATGGCCACAGAAATACGATCCTTTAAGATATCTGTCTCTGTAATTTCAGAGGCTCTGGAGGTGGTGGCTGAAGAACTGGAGCGGACAGTTTCAGCTTCACCCGCATCACTCTCCTCTCGTTTCTTCTCTTTAGCCATCTCTTTAGCCTTTCTGAAAACTCGCATTGATTTCCGGGCTGGTGGAAAAATCAAGATATGGAGGTGAGGAAGGCATGGTAGGGAATGAAACTTGTACTAAAGAGCTGTCTTTGGTAAGTGTGCTCCTAGGCTGTGCCTTCTTATCCGAGGTGGGGGTGGGGAAAGGACCTTGGGGTCCTCCGGAGTCTGTGGTCTATGTGGATGTCTCCTAGGACAGTCCTCTTCTCTGACTCAAGCACTTCATCTGTCTTCCTACCTCGTATCTCAGGACCCTCTCTGGTTCTAACTGGCTTTTCTCTTAGGTACCCAAAACATGTGCCCAGTTGCCTCATACATACCATGTTTTTTGCTCGCTGCCCGGACCCGTTTTTGGCTTTTGCTGGTCTTGACTTCAGGTTCCTCAGGAATTGGGATGCCTACAAAGGCCTTACTAGGTGCAGAGGCCCCTGGGAGCTTGGAAAAAGCCTCCAGCTTCCTATCTACTCTGGTCACCGTCAGATTTTCACTTAATCGCCTCTCTATTTGAGCGATGAGGATCTGAACGTCCACGGGCCGCATCCCCAAAAGGTTGTCCAGGGACTCCTCCCCAATCATCTCTTGCCTATGAAAGTCAAGGAAAGAAAAAACTTCGTTGAATAAGGCACAAGTGGAGAACAGGAAAGGAAGAGCTGCCACAGCGCAAAGAAAGGATGTGGCAGAGGGGCAGAGAAGGACAGTGTCGGACACGGAAGCCAGAGCAACGGCGAGGGCGTGCTGCACAGCGGAAGCCGCCGATGGAGAGAGCAAATGCGAGCTGGGGTTCCGAGAAGTTAGGAGACACAGGGCTAGGGAAAGACACGGAGAAGCTGAGGTCATGCTGAGGTCATCAGAGATATACTCGGAACGGGGGAAACTGTAGGCATGGGGGTGATAATCATCAGGGAGAAAGAGCTATCAAGAAGGAGGAGGAGGAGGAGGAGGAGGGAGGGAAAGCTTAGAGTAGGAGGATCAGCTGGTGGTATGGAATCAAGGTAGGCACAAGCGACTCACTGAAAATCCTGGAAAAGGTCTGGTTTCTGCATCAGGTTTAAGAGTGAGGTCTTTGAACTGACTCCAGTCTCAGGCATTAAGACCAGGGCTTTATCCCTAACCCTTGGGTCCTTGTCTATTAACCCCTGGGCCAGAGGCAAGGCAAAGAGGTGAGTAATCATCCCGAGACGCTTCAGCCCTTCCCAGGCCAGTTCCCGGATGTGCGGGTTGGAATGCGATGTGTCGTCCAGCAGGCGGCGGGCTGTTTCAGAGCGCAGAGTTGCGGACACTTGGTAGGAGGCGAAGATCTGCCCCAGCGCGCCCACGCAGCACTGGTACTTCAGCGAGTTAGCACTGCACATGATGTTCAGGATCGCCTCGACCATGCTGTTGATGGCCACTTCGCTCATCTTTTTCCCCACCCAGCTGCGGTTCGCTGCGTCTATGAGGACGCTGTAAGTGACATCCTTAGTCAACCTCTTTTTCAGGAAGCCTTCGTCCTCTTTTTCTACAATACTGGTCGTTCTTTTCTTTCTCTTCCAGAAGAATGACAGATTCTTTTCCAAGTCCAGAGGCCGTTGGGGTGGGTGCAGTCTGCACTGTAGGAATACCGGGGTGCCTTCTGGCCAGAGACGGGCACGGATCACCGAGTTGGGAATATAGCAATCAGGAGCAAGAAGCCATTTCCTCCCATGACCAAAATAGCATCGCAGTATGTGGTAGGGGTTGAGCCCATCCCAGGCAGTCAACTGTAACTGAGGAGGAGCCACATAATGACCTTGGGGTTTCCTGCTACCTGCATCCAAGTCAGTTTCCTCCAAAATGTCCTCCTTGCAGACACTCAGTAGCACAGTGGCCCCATCGCCGCCTTCTTCTACCACGTGTGGCACGTTATTGTCGAAGGCAATGGCCCGCTTATTTATGAGGCTCGCCAGGCCTTCCAGCTCCTGTTTCCGGTAATCTTGGTAGGTATACTTAGGCACAAATATGGTCTCAAAAGAGAGGAAGAAGCTTGGCGAGAAAGGTTTGGGGATCTCTACCATGTCATCTGTTATGCTCATAAGGGTGAGGCGAGAAAGCGTGATTGGGGGGAGCAGTTTCAAGCAGGGTACCAGATAAATACCCTGGTTGAAGGTAATCAGCAGGTCAGCCCGGTCATTCAGAAAGCAGAGCGGGCCAAAGTACAGGGATGAGTCCAGCATGGCTATAAGTCTACCTTGGAAGTCCCAGAGGCGGACGGAGCCATCAGACCCTCTGGTGGCAAAGAGACTCAAGGGCAAGCAGACGTCGAAGCTGACGATGGGACACTGGTGCAGAGGCAACGTCTCGATGAACCGGGTGCCCTGATCTGACCCGAAGGACAGAAAGTCACGGAACTCCCAGAGCCGTAGGCAGTTGCTGTCTGTGATGGCGCCTACAGCCGTTGGTAGGAGGACCAGGTGTCTGAGGGGACAGCTGCTGAGAATGCTAGCCAAGGCCCGAAACTGTAATCTGCTACCAGTGAACACAGTTTCCGACAATTGTATGTAGTCGTCCATCCCATAGGAGCAAAGCAAAGAGCTTTCCCGGCTGCTCAGAAGCCCTCCGTAGAGCGCTGACAGAGCCAGCACAGCCCCATAGTGCATGACTTTCTCAATTCTGGCGCAGCTGTGCTGGGAAAGCACTTTTACCATGCCACTCTGATGCCCAGAGAATATCAGTCCTTCCAGCCCCCGCCCCAGGTAGAAATTCCCGTAAGCCAGGCACTGGATGAAGTCGTGGTCATCTGGTGAGGTACACAGGAGATACTTGACCGGGCAGGGGTTGCGGGTCGTGTCGAACACCAGCACCTGTGAGGTCCCCGTTGCCACCACGAGCTCCTCCTTATTTGGGTCGTAGGCCCAGTCCACAGCCCGGTCGAGGATCTTCAGGGGCCAGGTGACCATGAGGAGTTCCCCCGTGATGGGGGACAGGAAACGCAGCAGGCCGTCCTCGGTGGCGCACAGGATCCGGTAGCAGCTGTCCTTGCAGTGGATCCGGCTCAGCTGCTGCGGGGTGGAACCGCAGATGTTGAAGAGGTTGTAGAAGCAGGGCAGGTTGCGCAAGGTAAAGTTCTGAGCTGTCTGGCAGAAGAAAGTGCTGCTGTCAATAAACTGGAGGTCCCAGAGCTCCTCCATGAGGACCATCTTCCGGAGCAGGGTCCCCGAGGTGAGGTTCCACTCCTTGATGACGCCTTCCTTGCAAGCCGTTAACAGGGTGTGGGCCTTTGCCCGGCCGTGCACACATATCATTGGGGAGGTATGGGCCCTGAAGCTGTGGAGGGCCTGGCTTAGACCTACTTTCCACACGTGGACATGCCCACTCTTGTTTCCGGCGTAGACGAGGTTCCTCTCAAGACTGCTGAAACAGCAGGTGAAGGGAGAGCGGCTGCTAGTGGCAGTGAACTTCTGCGCCTCCTCCAGCTGACCGTATTTGTATTCAAGGACTCTCAGCGCAGTTTCACACAGGGCAACGAGCTGGTTGTTGGGGCCATTCCGAACAATCTTTTGGACCAGCTCATCACCAGGTATGGAAAATATCTGAGTCATTTGGAGGCCCTTGCCTTTCTGTTGAATGACCCAGCTGACCACCGCCCCCAGGGTGCCAGCCAGAAGCAGCCCTGTGACTGGATCAAAGCAGAGACAGCTGATATCAAAGCGACAGGGCACAGTGCTCAGGGGTTGGAATTCCCTAAAATGATCCCCAAAGAGCCTCAAGATCATGTCGCCACAGTAGGCCACAATGACATGAAAGGAGCCCGCGTGGACGAGCAGCTTGATGGGAGGCAGTTGCTCATTCATTGGGAAGGTTTTCCTTTCAACCATGCCATCAATTGCATTCTTCATCCACACCACAGCCTGTAAGTAAAAATAAGAGACAATAGAGAAGAAAAGAGCCGAATATTCAGCTATCTACTCTTCCTTCTCCTCCTCCTTCACATAGCCCTGGCTGGCTTAAAATTTACTATATGGACCTGATGGTTCTCTCCCCTCTCCCTTCCCCTCCTCCTCTCCCTCCTCCTCCTCATTCTTCCTCTTCTTTCTTCTCCTTCTCCTTCTATTTAATTATTTACTTATTTTGGTTTTTCTGTGACAGGTTTTCTCTGTGCTACCCTGGAACTCACTCTGTAGCTCAGGCAGGCCTCAAACTCAGCGATCCACCTGTCTTTACCTCCCAAGTGCTGGGGTTAAAGGCGTGTACCACCACCGCCTGGCTATTTATTTATGACTGGGTCTTGCTTTGTAACGCAGGCTGGCTTGGAAGTCCTGGTCCTCCTGACACCCAGCCTGGGATGGCAGGGACGCCACATCTGAGCACTCCAGTCTCCTGGCTTGTTTTGCTAAGGAGGTATCAGAAGACTAGCTTTTGCCTTCTGGGGAGTGGGGAAGAGGGTAGAGGAAGGAAGCCTTGCGTTTCCTCACTAACTTAATGTGCTTTAGGGAAATCGCCAAGTCTACACAAAGTGAAGAGTGTGAGTGGAAGAAGCATGAAGGGAAATCTTGAGTGTGCGCCCTATTCATTCAAGGGGTGGCTCTTCCTTTGATAGTCTGGGTTGAGGGCTAGAAGGCCCTTGGAGGAGAAAATGGGAGACAGGGAAGTGGTCTTACCAGGGTTTCTTTTGTGTAGGATGACACCCAGGAGAGGGCAGCAAAGAAGTGGGCTTCAATGAAGTAATGGCATATAATCGGCATGGTCTGAGAATAAGTTTCTTTGAACAGTATTTTGGCTCGGTCACTCAACACAACTACTTCATTCTTTGCAATCTCTGTGAGGTTCTGGGGGAGAGATATGACATAAACTGAGGCTTAGGCACTAACATATTTTTTAAAAAGGGTGAGATTGCAGCATTTTGCTAACGTATACTGTGATGCTGATCTTGGTTGTCAATTTCACATACCTGGAAAGAGAGAGAGCCTGTCAAAGTATTGCCTCAGTCAGATTTGCCAGTAGGTGTGTCTAGAGTGCACGTTCTTGGTTGCTAATTGATGTGTCAGGGCCCAGCCCATCGAGGGTGGAACATTCCCAGGCGGGTGGGCTGTGTGAAAAAGCTAACTGAGCAAATCAGAGCGAGCAAGCCAGTGTTTATCCACTGCTGGTTGCTGCTTAAACAGCCTACCTTGAGCCCCTGCCTTGGCTTCCCCTGGTGATACCCTGTATGATGAAATAACCCTTTCTTCCCCAATTTCTATTTGATCAAGGTTTTATCACAGCAAGAGAAAGCAAACTAGAGTACATGCCCCCTTCCCCCTCCTAACTCCTGTTCCCCTCACATGTAACATAGGACACACTGAAAAAGCATGTAAGAAATCCCAGCACACGATGGCACCACACTTGTACAGGCTCTAGACGACCAGGTTCTATAGTGTTCTTCTGCAGGTGCATCTAGCCACACCCATCCTCTAACATCTCCATGTCTAAAAGGTACACGGGCCAGAAAGAACACAACATTGAACAGCCTACTCAAACAAGCATATTATGTGAGGGCCACAGGCAATTCAACAGGACACCCCAAAAGTCAGCATAGCTTAGAATTACTAAAGAAAAGAGCGATATAACTGAGGGACTGGAGAGACAGCTCAACAGCTAAGAACACTGGTCGCTCTTGCAGAGAGCCTGGTTTCAGCTCCCAGCGCCCACACTGCAACTCCAGTTCCAGGGGATCCAATGACCTCTTCTGCCCAGCGCAGGCACTGCATGCACACTGAAGCAAAACACCATACATACAGTAAAAATAACGCCTGTGGTTCCATCACTCAGGGAGGCAGGGGTAGCTGGATCTCTGTGAGTTTGAGGCCAGCTTCATCTACGAGTTCCAGAACAGCCAGGGCTACACAGAGAAACCCTGTTTCCAAAACAAAACACTACACTTGCACAAATGAGACTTTTTGGACGCCTTATCTGGCTGGGGCCAGTGCAACTCTGTGCGCACTGTTCCACAGAGTAGAACACGAGCGTGGACCGTGTGCTTGGGGGCTGTCTATACAGAGCCAGCCCTCGCTGGCCGAGGCTAGCAAATGCTCTTTCTCGTGCCTTACTCTCTGTGTGGTTTGAATGAGACTGGCTCCTAGAAGCTCATATATTTCACGCCTAGTCACCAGCTGAACTATTTGGGGAGGATTAGGAGGTGTGTCCTTCTCAGAGGAGGTGTTTCAAAAGTCCATGCCAGGCCCAATCTCTCTCTCTGCCTGCTGCTGCTGGCCGTAATGACCGGAGGCAGCTCACCCTCTAAAACTGGAAGCAGGCCCCCAATGAAATGCTTCCTTTTATAAGGGTTGTCTTAGTCACGGTGTCTCTTCACAGCCACAGAACTGCGACTAAGACACTCTTCCCTTTCAGAAAATTTCCCTTCCCACGGGGTGGCCTCCTCGGACCATCCCAAAACGTTCATGTCCCACCATCATTATGCCCCACTATTATCATGTCTGTAGAATTATTTGGAAACGTGCCCCCCCCCTTCAGATGAGGTAACAACTGTCCTAACTGTCTGCCCCGTTTCTTGCTTTCAGGGACCATATATGGCTTTTGTGAAGTCCATATCACCATAGTGTAGGTGGGGGTCAGCTAAGAGCACATTAAAGCCCTAAAGACATACTCCTTTCTTACCTTGCTGTTTTGAATGGCTTCATTCACGAGATGCATAAACCCGTTCCATTGGGGAACGAGCCTGGTGGTCGTCATCGCTTGATTTTTCCCTCCTAGCCCTCCTTAGGACTGTTTCTTGTAAACCTGTGGATGTCCAAAAGAGGGATGCTTAGTTTGGGTTATTTTTCTAGAAACTAGAAATCAGAAGACAAAGAAGCATGAAGTCATGGTTTGGGTTTTGTTTTACTTGGTATCACCAGGTTTGAACTCTCTGTATAGCAGAGGATGGCCTCACCTTCTGGTTCCCCTGCCCTTCCCACCCCCCACCCCCCGCTCCCCAAGAGCTGGGATCATGGGCACGCACTGCCATGCCTGCTTTATGTGCTGCTTGGGACGGGACCCAGGGCTAAGTGCATGATGGGAGAACACTCTGCCAGGGGTCTCTACCCTTAACCTGCCTTTTCTCATTTGTAAACGAAAATGCCAATCTTGCCTGCAGAGCTCAGACAGACTCCCGGAGGAAGGCTTTGAGAGTGTACCCGGATACCGCAGGCAGCTATGGCTGGCTGCAGGCCGCCTAAACATGACTGCTGAGTTTATAGTCTGGCCAGTAGAGGGCAATGAAGGCCAACCATGACTGCCAGGTAAAGAAAAATGATCCCCAGAGGTGGTGTTCCAGGCCTGCAGTCAGCACTGTTTTAGGAACTTGTTAGACTGCTAATAGTCCTCTTAGTCCGAGGCAGTGGCACACACCTATAATTCCAGCACTCTGGAGGGAGAGGCAGGCAGATATCTCTGACTTCAAGGCCAGCCTGGTCTATGTAGCAAGTTCCGTGACAGCTAGGGCTGTGTAGAGACCCTATCTCAGTTACCCCCACCTCCCCACCCCACCCCCACTGCCAAATGAGGAAGAGGAGGGGAAGAGAAGAGAAGAGAAGAGAAGAGAAGAGAAGAGAAGAGAAGAGAAGAGAAGAGAAGAGA